TAATTAATCGATACGTCGAGGGGGTACAAACATACTTTCGGTTGGCGGCAGAGGGGAAGGTGGAACGTGTTCTCCACTCTCTGACTCTCTTGGTGCAAGATAATCTGCCCTTTGATGTGTTGCTAGGCATGGATTGGGGTGAAGCTGCTAATGCGGATATCAAGTTAAGGGACCATGAGTGTTGACTCCCAAGTCCGCAGGGTGGAAAGAAGAAAATCCGCTTATTCCATGAATCTGGTAAGCAGCTTAGTTCATTGTTGTATGAGTGCCCCGTGTTTGCCCGCCATGTAAAAAAATATAACTTGTATGATCAGGTGTTAATTGCATTTGTATGGCCAGTGAAAGAGGGTGAAGTAAAGGAAGAGGCCAAGTATCCAGAAATTGACAAGATTCTAAAGGAATTCGCAGATGTGGCTGAGGCCCCAAGCGGTGTAGTTGAGAGACCCATCAAACATCGCATAGACATTATCCCAGGAAGTCAGATTCCTAAGGGACCCATTTACCGAATGTCCCCAAAAGAATTGGATGAACTGCGATCCCAGCTTGACGAATTGCTGGAAAAGGGATGGATAAGGCCTAGTTCCTCGCCTTATGGTGCGTCTGTGCTATTTTTGCCTAAAAAGGATGGCAGGGTACGCATGTGCATAGACTATAGAAGGTTAAACGAAATAACTGTAAAAAACGCAGAGCCGTTACCACGAATAGATGATTTGCTGGATCGTGTGCAGGGTTGCAAATACCTCACGAAGATTGATCTGAAGTCCGACTACCATCAAATTGAGGTAGAACCGGAAGACCAATATAAAACTGCTTTCAGAACGAGGTACGGGCACTATGAGTTCGTAGTTATGCCCTTTGGTCTTACTAATGCCTCTGCGACTTTCCAAAGAACGATGAATGAACTTTTTCGAGAGTGGGTTGATAAATTTGTCATTGTTTATTTGGATGATATTCTGATTTTCAGTAAAGATTTGAAAGAACATTCTGAGCACCTTCGACTTGTGCTAAATAAGTCGCGTGAAGCAAATCTAAAGATAAACCCAAAGAAGTGCGATTGGGCCAAGCGTTAGGTTTTGTATTTAGGGCATGTGCTTGATGGCGATGGAGTTAAACCGGAAGACTAAAAAGTTGCAGCAATCAGAGATTGGTCAACCCCCCGCACTTTGACTGAGTTGCGGTCGTTCCTTGGGCTAGCCAATTACTATCGGAAGTTCGTTAAACACTTCACGATAATAGCTGCACCCCTTCGCAGGTTGCTTAAGAAAGAAACAATCTGGAAGTGGGATTCAGACTGCACAACTTCGTTTAAGCGTATGAAAAAGTGTCTGATTAACTATCCGGTTTTAAAGGTTGCCGACCCTTCTTTGCCCTTTGTGGTCACTACTGACGCAAGTCAATACGGGATAGGTGTTGTACTCCAGCAGGATGACGGGAATGGATACAGACCTGTGGAGTTTATGTCCCGACGACTACCTAATGAGAAGGTCGCCGCTTCTACATACGAGAGAGAGTTGTTTGCTCTCAGGGAAGTCCTTGATCATTGGCGACACTATCTCTTAGGAAGGCACTTCAAAGTATACTCAGATCACGAAACACTACGCTGGCTTAAGACGCAGGCCCGAATGACACCTAAGTTGACCAGGTGGGCCGCCGAAATTGACCAATTTGACTTTGAGTTAAAGCCAGTCAAGGGTAAGTATAACGTTGTCGCCGACGCATTGAGTCAAAGATCAGATTTCTTTGGTGCCATTGTAACCTATTTAGATGTGGGCACCAACCTACAAGAAAGAATTAAGAATGCGTACTCCACTGATCCTGTCTATGCCGCTATGCTTAAGCGTGTGCAGGAAGCGCCAACAAAGTTTCCTAACTATCGTGTGATAC